TTATGTATTAGGGTCTTAGTTGTGGCCTCCTGGATTTTCTAATTTTGAGGATTGGAGAGAGAGGTAAGAATCAGAGTTGATGTAAAGGTTTGGATTTCACACCTCAAGGTATGAAAGCACCGTCAACTGAGATGTAGAAATTCAGAGTGGGAAGAGTAATTTTCATGAGGAATATAAAATCTTTTATTTTTTCTCTTTTAGGGTATGGGATATTTCAGACGCCAGTTCATAACCATCTGAAACTCTGAGGAGTAGTGCAAGATGAAGACTACTTAAGAAATGTAGATCACCTGTTTTTATTGGAGGTAGAAGAGTAATTAACAATTAGTGAGACTGTGGCTGGTGCATATTTACTTCTTAAACACTCACCAGGATTTCTTTTTTTTTTTAATTAAATCTGTATTGTTCAGATTATTACATTGATTCCTCTTTTTTCCCCCCATAACTCCCCTCCACCCAGTTCCCATCCCACCCTCCGCCCTCACTCCCCACCCACTGTCCTCATCCATAGGTGCACGATTATTGTCCAATCTCTTCCCGCACCCCCCACACCCCTTTCTCCCCCCAAGAATAATCAGTCCATTCCCTTTCTATGTCCCTAATTCTATTATAATCACCAGTTCATACTGTTCATGAGATTATTTATTCACTTGATTTTTAGATTCACTTGTTGATAGATGTGTATTTGTTGTTCATAATTTGGATCTTTACCTTTTTCTTCTTCTTGCGCTTCTTAAAGGATACCTTTCAGCATTTCATATAATACTGGTTTGGTGGGGGATGAACTCCTTTAGCTTTTCCTTATCTGTGAAGCTCTTTATCTGACCTTCAATTCTGAATGATAGCTTTGCTGGATAAAGTAATCTTGGTTGTAGGTTCTTGGCATTCATCACTTTGAATATTTCTTGCCACTCCCTTCTGGCCTGCAAAGTTTCTGTTGAGAAATCAACTGACAGTCGTATGGGTACTCCCTTGTAGGTAACTGACTTTTTTTCTCTTGCTGCTTTTAGGATACTCTCTTTGTCTTTTGCTCTTGGCATTTTAATTATGATGTGTCTTGGTGTGGTCCTCTTTGGATTCCTTTTGTTTGGGGTTCTCTGCGCTTCCTGAACTTGGAAGTCTGTTTCTTTCACCAGGTAGGGGAAGTTTTCTGTCATTATTTCTTCAAATAGGTTTTCAATATCTTGCTCTCACTCATCTTCTGGCACCCCTATAATTTGGATGTTGGTACGCTTGAAGCTGTCCCAGAGGCTCCTTACACTATCTTTGTATTTTTGGATTCTCTTTTCATTTTGCTTTTCCGGTTGGGTGTTTTTTGCTTCTTCATATTTCAAATCTTTGACTTGATTCTTGGGATCCTCTGATCTGCTGTTGGGAGTCTGTATAATATTCTTTATTTCAGTCAGTGTATGCTTAATTTCTAGTTGGTCCTTTATCATAACCTCGAGGGTCTGACTAGATTTCTTGAGGATCTCACTACATTTATCAGCGGTTTCTAGAAAATTCTTGAAAAACCTAAAAAGTGTGGTTTTGAACTCTATATCCAGTAGTTTGCTTTCCTCCATTTCTGTCATTTGTGTCCTGTTTCTTTGTCTCGGCATTTTTTATGCTTCTCTGTGAGTGGCTTTCTGTGCTAAGTGTCCCAATTACCTTAGGTAGACACTCTTGGTGTACCCCCTTGTGGGCTTTGTGCACAGTCTTGTTGTAGTTAAGCCTTGATTGTTGTAGATAAAACTGGGAGGATTTGACCTCCAGGCCAGTTGGCTGTGAGAATCAGCTGTGTCTACGGTGGGAGAACTTCTGTGCTGAAGACACCCTTATGGGGCAAGACTTGCTTCAATGGGGCTTTGGTGCTCACTGAGTCTGCCCCCTGAGTGTGTCCCTTATAGATCTGAGGAGTTGTAATTGGATGATCCCACTCTGACCACTGGGTACACTTGCTCTTGGATCTAAGGAGGTGCTAATCTAGCCTTTGCCTGAGGCTACCCAGCAGAAGCCAGGTGTAAAGCAATGCACGTTGCCCTGGGGCCTTGGGGCAGCTGCAGTTTGTTAAGTTATTTTCAGATTACAAAGGGCCAGGCCTTTCATATGCAAAAGCCTCTGTGTAAGGCTTGGGCGGGGCCCCAGGGGATCAACAGGGCGGGCCGAGCGAGCCAGCAGTATGGCTGCTCTCAGTCCTGCCTTCAGAGGTCCTGGCAATCGCAGCGAGTGCCTCCAAGAGAAAGCTCCGACCCATGCCAGACAGTCCCGTTTCTCCCGTATGAGTTTGGGTCCCCAGAGACTCGTCCGGAAGTAGAGCTTAGAGCCTGAGTCTTTCTCCTGATTGAAAAAGACAATCTGTCCTCAGCAGCCAGCCCTCTCCGCATGCACCTCCAAACCTTTGTATTTACTTCAGCACCGCACCTCCTCTGAGTCTCGGTATGCTTTTCTCTTTCCTCCTAGTTGTAGAAATTCCACTCAGCCAGCCTTCCTATGGTTCTGGATGATGTCCGTTATGTCTTTTAGTTGTATCTTTGAAGTGGTTGTGCGAGGCAGCAATCTCCGGTGTTTACCTATGCCGCCATCTTGGTTTCTCCTAAAGTATATATTTTTAAGCATAGGCTTTTGGTGTTTTCATGCATTCCTGCATTGCTAAAACCAAGATCCTCCTGCCCTTATCAGTGCTTCATTCTCGGCATGTAAAAGAACATGCAAAAACACAGTCTGCCTTAGAAATAGCTTACTTGAAATATATCCTTGTAAAAAGACACTTGTGAAACCCTATGAATCCCATCTTGCCTTCCACCACTCCCTGTCATCGTGATGGTTTTTGTGTCTATCTATTCATACATGATTGGGTATTTCACATAAATTGCTCCATGTCTTGCCCTGGCCAAATAGCTCAGTGGGTCGGAGAATCATCTCAATTACGACAAGGTTGCAAGGTCCATAACCGGTCAGGGCAATTACAAGAATCAACCGCTGAAGGTATGAGAGTAATGGAACAAAGGAACTGCTGTGTCCCTATTTTCCTCTCACTCTAAAATCAATAAATATGTTTATTCACTCAGTCAGTCCACACACATGTGAACACCAGCACAGCCCAGGGGCCCCGTGGTGACCAGCAGACAGTGTTCTCATGAGGGTAGAACATGCAATGGTCCAGAGACCAGTATGGGAGGTGCTGTTGCTGTAAGTGTGGCCGGTGGGGAACCGGGCTGAGCTGCACAGTCACCCACAGGGGATGATGACATCCCTGGGCTAAAAGCAAAGAAGCTGGGAGAGGCTTTGGGCTAGGACATGCCCCCGTGGTCTCTGCACCTTCCAGTCGGGGGTTTTATTGCACATTCAGGTGGTTGAGAAGTCCAGATTACTCTCAGGTGGCAAGGCTGGGAGCAGCAGTGGCTGCTAGGCAGGTGGGTGTGGGCAGGCAAAAGGCCAGGGCAGTTGCCAGGGAGAGTTGGTGCTGGGCCAAGTGTATGGCTCTGAGGCCTTCCCTTGTCACAGTCCAGGCTGATGGTCTCTCTGTTCTTTGGGGCCATGGTTAGTGGGAAGTGGAGCAAGCTCTGTTGCAGGAGTTCCTGGGGGGTCATGACCTGGGAGTCAGCATGTGCTCCAAGTAAACATTTGACCCAGGAAGAGCCAACCTACTCCACTGTAATGAAGTGCTCCAGCCATTGCCCTGCCCAGGGAGGTAGGGGAGCTGTCTCTGCAGAGGCTGATTCCCTATCTGCCCAGCAGGAGGGGTTGCAGGCTGCTGAGCCAGGTGGTCCTGTCCTGGGTTACCAGTGTCTTGAAGTTTAGCCCCTAAAGGAGGTTCTAGATATTTATCAATCTAGAGAGGCAGTATCCCTGATCTTTCCTTCATGGGTAAACATCCACCCTGACGCACTGAGACTGCTTACTGCCTGCGCAGCCCACCCTTCTATACACTTTCCAGGCTGTGCCTGGGATGTTCCACTGAAGGTGATACATGCCCCTGACTGAATTGAGTTGTTGGACACTGAACTCTGGGCATAGTGTGGTGCTGGGGTGTGTGGTTGAAGGAGCAGAGAGGTGTGGTCTAGGACAGGGCTGGAGATCCCCCTGAGCAGGGCAGCACCTTAATTATTAATGTTGCCTTTAAGAGAGAAAATTAGTATGGCTCAGCATTTTGGGGGTCCCAAACATTTTGTGCTTGGAAGGCACATAACAATAGCAGAAAATCACTGTTGGTCCAATTTTGGGTTATTTTGCATTGCTGATCAAGGCCTTGAAGAAAGAAAGTCTGCATGACTTTGTGGTTCTTGTTTGCAGCCTGGTGCCTCTATCATTGGTGAGTTCAGTAATTACCCAGAATAGGAGTTCTTTGTTGTGCTTGTGTGAACAATATGAATTATATTCTCTGTTCACAATAAGTATTGCATAATTCTCAGCAATGTTTAGGACAGGTCTTTGCCACATACTATACAGGAGCCATGTGCCATGAATAATGAAATTTCATATGCTGGTGTCACTTGTTGTAAGACTCTGAGGTTTAAATGGAACTGCCAGTAGGACAGAAACACTGTATTCACAGTGAGTGGGAAAGACTGCAGTAAACTGAAGGAAAAGTGCCCTTCTGAACGTTTTCCAAAAATGATCCAAGGTCTGTGGCTTGTATGATGTTTGCTTACATTCTCAGGGCCTCCATATCTGTTTTCTGTGGCTGAACTCATTGGCAGAAAAAATAGTTTGTTGGAGCCCCTGGCCTTACCTCAAGGTTTCCTTAACTGGCAAGACCTCAGAGCTGAGGAAGGATAATTCTCTAACCAGGTATTTTTAGGATGTATTTTTGGTAACCAGTCTTTTTCATTTTTAAAAATAATTTTGTTGACCTTTTAGTAAGAGAAGAAGGGAGAGAGTGAGAAATGGAGATATGTGAAACATTGAACTGCTGCCTCCTGTCTGCCACCTACAGGGCATCCAGGTGGGCATGTGCCCTGACCTGGGCTGGAACCAGTGACCTTTCAGGGCAAGGGATGGTGTCCAACCAACTGAAGTACAATGGCCAGGGAAGAGATTATTCTTGTTTTATTATTTACTAACTATTGTATTAATTTCCTTACCAACAACTCTTAACCTCCTTTACCACACCCTATATTTGCCTCCTGACATTTTATAATCTTTCTGCCTTCCCCAGCTCTAAATGCAGTCATTGATTTTCCTTCCTTTACAAGATTAGTTCATATTTTTCATAATGTAATAAACACTATAATGTGTGTATTCTTTAACAAGTATGGGATTCTTTCATACTACACAGTTAATTTGAGGTTCAACACTAATGCTTATGTGAAAGTTCATTTGTTATTGCTGAGTAGTATTGTGTTCTGTGAATAACCACTTTATCTATTGATCTGGCTATGGTTTTTTGTTATTCCCAGGTTTGAGGTATTATAAATAAATTTTCTGGGTTTATTGGGTTCAGTTCTTTATACAAACATATCTTTTCCTTATCTAACTGTTGCAGTATAGGTGAGTGTTTTAAGATATGCAGAACTGTGATCTAAAATGGTCCTCCCTTTCCCTTCCCAACCACCCACAATAATGAAAATTCTAGTTTTTCGTTATCCTTGTGGGCACATGCGATGTTTAATATTTTTAAATTGTTGGCCTGAAAATCAGTAGTGTTAACTTGTTTTGTTTTAATTCCATTTCCCTAAGAAATTTTTATGGTGAGCATTTCTTTATGTATTTATAGACCCTGTCTTTATCTCCTTTGTTGAAAAGTCTGATCAGAAACTTCTGCCAATTTTTAAAATGAATTTATGATTTAAGCAATAGGAAATCATTTCACCATGTAAGACATCTGTTTGTAACTCACTCATTCCTCAAGGACTCAACTTCTTTGCCATTTGGAACTATATGTTTTGAATATTGGGAGGAAAGTTGTTTTTCTAAAATTGTATCCTATGTACAATTTAAAGCCCACTTGCATGATACACTTTAAGATTAACAACATTGCTCACATTCTCCACCATTCAGTTTAAGTTGAAGAATTCAATAGTATATTAAGTGAAGTCAAGGTTTGTAGTATTTGTCAATTTTTCTAGTGTAAATACTCTCATCATCGTCACTTTCAAACCTCCAAAGTGATAGCACTGAATATGGACTGATGAGATATTTCAGTAGTAAATCATTATATTTTATTTCCAACATATTGATGCAGTAGGTACAGATATGCTCAAGAACTTTCATAATAAAATAGTAAAATAATTGGGAAGTGGCAAGTTTTAATTATTTTTTAAACTTTGATAAGTATAATTGATTTAAAATATATATGCAAAATAATACTTTTATTGATATCCGAGAGGAAGGGGAGAGTGAGGGATAGAAACATCAGTGATGAGAGAGAACTACTGATAGGCTGCCTCCTGCATGCCTCACAATGGGGATCCAGACCACCACTTGAGCATGTGTCCTGACTGGGAATGCAACCGTGACTTCCAGGTTCATAGGTCAGTGCTCAACCACTGAAACACACCAGCCAGGCTCTCCTAAGCTATTAAGGGATCCCGCTCGACCTCAACTGAGGCAGCAATGAGCAGCAACAGCTCATCGTAGGAGAACCCCCTGAACCTGTGCTCAAGGCCTCCTTTTCTCTGGTTCTCCAGTGAGCTCACAGTGGTGTTTCTAGAGAGCCATAGGAGCCCCACCTAGTTTCTCTGCTGGTCCTTGTTCTAGCCTAAGCCCTAGATATTTTTCATTATCTCCATTTTTAATAAATGTTCTCTCAAAGTCTCTGAACTCCTGTTGTGAAATTTTTTCTGCATGAAGTCAAGTACTCAAACACTATAGGCCAAGCTGAGGCAGACCAGCTCCAGGCTGGTTCCTGTTTGCTAAAAGTTATGCCTGGGACATCCTGTATGAAGACAGAACAAGACATGATTGTGCTTACAAGAGTTGGAAGAAAACGTGATGGCCCACAATCACTTTGTTGTTGTTGAGGCAAATCAACACTATTCATTTTTCAAATGTCTTTATTGATTTCTTAGAGAGAAAGGGAGAGGAAGAAACATCAATGATGAGAGAGAATCATTGACTAGCTGCCTCCAGCATTCCCCCACTGGGATGGAGCCTCCAACCTGGGTATGTGCCTTGACCTGGAATCAAACCAGCGATATGTTGGTTATTGGGTACATGCCCAACCACTGAACCCCGCTAGCTGTACACACTATTATTTTTTCTAGAGGCCCAGTGCACGAATTCGTGCACGGGTAGGGTCTGGCCAGCCTGGCCTCAATCAGGGCGGATCAGGGCTGGGCCCGTCAGGAGGAGGAGAAGGTG